GGTATGGTAGGGGTTAAATATTGTTTATGTTGCTTGAAAATTTTTAATCCCAATTTTAAAACAATAAATGTTAACGACCTAAAACACCAAAATCCCAAATTGAACTAATTCCCCCAATATCAACATTTACATCAGAAAAGAACCTTTCACAAATGGTCTTAAAATAAACAAATAGAAGAGAATATAAACCAAATATCAAAGTAATGAAATACAGTACCAGCAATGAGGAATATTTTGGGAAAGTTCACTCAATATAAATCATCTACTACAGCATGGGACACTAAACCTGGTCCTTCTGATGAAGCTCAGCCTCCTCTCAGCCATTCACCACTGACTTATTTACCACATGGTGACCCAGCATTTGTTACACTGTGGCAGATGTCTAGAGACTGTGTGTGTGTGTGTGTGTGTGTGTGTGTGTGTGTGTGTGTGTGTGTGTGTGTGTGTGTGTGTGTGAGAGAGAGAGAGAGAGAGAGAGAGAGAGAGAGAGAGAGAGAGAGAGAGAGAGAGAGAGTGAAATGGTGTTGGGGGGGTGGTCTCCTTAACCAGGTTGGCTTTAATGCAAATTCACTGAGGAGCAGCATGGATGTCATGGCGTCCACTCAGGAAAATGGTCAATTTGTTCATCACTGATCCAAACCTAAACTAATCCCTCCCTACTGCGTTATAACCTGATCTTATATTTCATCAATAACCAACTGCAGCACTGATGTAAGGTGAATAAAGCAGTAAAGATCTATGGCTGCGTTTCATTTTTCTTTCATTGTCATAAATAAATATTTCATGGCATCATCCACAGTGGATAAGCTACAGTTCAGCTGAAGTCAGCTGGAAAAGATTGCCTGGAAAGCCTTGATGGTACCTGCCTGATGTGCCAAGCTCTCCTCACGAGACGGATGCGTTTATAGTGTCACATCAGGGGAACACAAAGCAGCCTCTCTGAACATATGTGTTTTCTTTCAGATTTTGAGGCACAGATGAGTGATGTGTGAAGATCTACTATCCCTTCATTTCTCTTTTTATAATGCCTGTGGATGATTACATTTTTTCATTTGAGAAAAAAAAAATCCAGTCTATATTCAAAGTCAGCACGCGGGCTCTGGACTCATATTTCTCTCCATCCTGCTCTGTACTGATGTGCATCAGCCTCAACAGCACTGCGCTATTTGGCGCAAAGGATGGGGTACATGCACAATTGCGCAGACCTGGATCTCAGTGCGCTTTTGGGCGACAGGACCATGCATTCTCTATTCTGGGATTACCATCTCTAAGGGCATACAAAGCCTAGACTGCGCATGTTTGTCACCCAACTTCCACATTGAAAACCTATAAAGGGTGCAAGAGTGGTTATCTGAACGTGCTCTGCATCCGTAATTATTATTCCTCTAGAAATGAACGAGGCAAGCGGTCCAAGGAAGAGGAGAGCAGGAAAGAGGTGTGGGAGAGAAGGGGAGAAAGAAAGTAAATACAGCCCCCAAAAGGAGGCAGGCTCCAGAATCTAATCTGAAGGACAATTTTAATAAGAAAACACATCTAAAAACAACCTTTCACCGCACCCAGTGCTTCCCAAACCAGCGGTCCCCTCTCTCTGTAAATCTCCTTATCACAGAGGAGGCACGGCGCAATGTGGGAAGCGTGGCACAGAGGATGAGGTGAGGAAACGTCGTCTCCACATCGCCTCCGACGCATGGTGCTTTCGAGTGTCCAATTGGGGCGCCATGAGGCGACTCTAACAGCCATGCACCCCATTCATACATTACCCCCGTCCCTCCAAAAACTTGATTCCACCAGACAATGCGGCGAGAAAAGGCACCCCCTGCATTCACTGCCCTCAACATCTTAAGTCCCGCACAAAACATGCCGGAAAACCAGAGCACTGCGGAATGACATACCTTTTGATCCAGAAAGTGTCCACAATCCGGAGAAGACAGTCAGTGGTAAAAGCAGCACTACAGCTCTACTAATAATAGTGGCAGCACAGGCAGACAGAGGAGGAGGAGGAGTACTCGAGGTAAGCCAGTAATGGGGAATGGAAATGGAGACGCAGAGAGCTCTTATACGCCAGCCCAGGCGGCGTATCCACCGAGCGAGACGCACAAAAGAGAGGGAGAGGTGTCCGAATTCCCATGCACTGACACTTTTTTATCTGTTGCTGTTGTGGGCTGTTGTTGCCGACTCCTAGTTTCCATACAGCGCAACCTGTGCGACCTGTGTGATCGGATGACCGGTGTGGCGCTTCATCAGCAAACCCGCATTTGTTGGGACGAGGCGCGCAGCACGGCGGACTTCTTCCTCATTCTTCCCTTTCCGATATCCCTTCTCGCTGTAAGCTCAAGAGCTAAAGTGAGAGAGCGCGGAGGAGAGCGAGAGTAAGAGAGAGAGAGAGAGAGAGAGAGAAAGAAAGAGAAAGACTGAGAGTGAGTGAGTGTATGTGTGAGCAGGTCTCTACTTCGTCTGTTCCCTCACACACTGACTGAGGATCAGCTCACCCTCCTCCTCCTTGCTCACTCTCTCTCTCTCTCTCGCAGTTTGTGCGCGGCTCTCTCACTTCTCTGTGTACACACACATATCCCCTACATACACAGTTGTTCAGCCCCTTTCTGTCTTGCCCAGATTCTCGTCGTAACCTCTAACAGGGTTAATATTGAGTAGCTACAGAAAAGAAAACAAAGGTTGAGCTTAATATTCAAACAGTTAAATGTGAGATTGTCAGGTAAACAAATTGACACTAAGAACTCAAGCGAAGATACATTTCATTCCTTAATTTTTTAATTTATTTATCATTATTTTTTTTAATTTGTCGGTATGAGACGACACAAATACAGTTCCACCTTACACAACACCTTCATCTACATACGTTACCCAAGGATGACTTCCTCAAGAAAAGTAATTTGTAAAAGGAGGTAGAGGGAGAGTTGTATCAAGCCAAGACCGAAAGAAAGACTATGGAAAAGTTTTAAAGAAAAGCATTGTTTTGTTTTAGGTTGATTCAGTCAACTGAATTTCCACCATTAAGTGCCATTTAGATCCGTATCTGGAGTAAGTTTGTCATGCTTGGGTAATGACATTTGGCTTGAGAAAGGAGGCTGATGTGTGCAAGTGCTAAAAACTGCAGTTCCTTGAGTGTCCACTTGAGGCTGTCTCCAGAAGTCACAGATAAACCCATTCAAAAAGTCTGTCTTCACAGTGAAAATTAATTTGTTTATCATAAGGTACAAAAAACCTTAATAGTTAATTATCTTATTGTTGGCACACATCACATGGTATATCTTTTATGTATCAAGTTCTTGAAGTTACAATTTGGGGAAATAGGAGGAATGACTGACTTGATTGACAGGTTGGCACACTTAATCTTAAGGAAGGTCCACCTCAACCTCACTCCTCTGCCTCACTGAAGGGTGGATGAAAGGTAGGTTGGGTTAGCATTTTTAACCTACAGTTAGGCTCCAGTGGGCAATCCTTGACGCCACTAAGACTATATGCTTTGTACAGTCTGTGGTTTGAACTCCATGACTTCATAGTTATTTATTTTTATTTTTTTACTTACTGTGACTTGTGTGTCACCAGAATTGAAGGAAACCAGTTGCAGGAAACAGTATTGTGTTACACTCACATAAACTTGTCACTGTGCACTTCAATGTGACATTAAATAGGCATGAATATTGGAGACAGAAAAAAAAAAAAAAACATGGAAGGTGCACCAAAGATTAGAAAACTATTGCTGTCAGAAAACTGAATAAACTTCAGGAAATATGATAATTTAGAAGGGTGTGTTTGAATCGTGAGGAGTTAACTCACAAACACACACAGGGAAGGGCAGCTGATAAGTGACGACATAGCTGTGAAACAAACCGGCTAGACAATAAATGGACAAAGATCACATTGTCAGAGTTCATGTAACAGATAAAAGGCACTGGGGCCCTGACTGGGGGCATCTGACCATCTTATGATGGTCAAACAGAAAAAGAAAGACAGACAGAATTTGATGCCTTGAAAAAGAAAGATTTCAAAGTTTACATTTGTGAGGTGAAATTTGCCTCTTTTGTGGGACTAAATGTACAAGAGGAGCAGCTGGACATCAAGATAAGTACTGCAGAGCTAGAGAGGCACCATTTGAATCTTATAGAGATGCTAACAGCTGCTAGCATTAGCTCGCTATCTTCAATAAAAATCTGTTTAGCTCAAACACCTTTACATTAATACTCTATGTAAAGTAATGATTGATGTAAAGACTATATTTGCTTACTCAAAAAGTTAGTTGGTTAAACTATCAGGGAGTTACCTCCAAAATTGGTGAATATGTTTGAAATCCCACAAACAAATTTCACAACTGTGTATTTTTACATTTTCAGAAATAAGACAAGTGCAGTTTTCTCTTCTTTTGTTCAGCATCTTGTATTCATCGGTGTCGGTTCAATGGTGAGAATTGTTGCCTGTGCTACTCAAGCACACACAGGTCAACAACAATGACCATGCAACTCTCCAAACGTCCAAACAGTGGCTGCAAAATGCCAGTATTCAAATGTCTGGAGTGAACATATAAGAATGTGGAACTCCTCCATGGTATCTCCAAAATCAGTAGCTATGGTGCGAACATGCACATAGATCAAAACAATGGAACTACTGAAGGACTCTTAGGCTCTAAAGGAAATTGTTCTTGTGGGGAAGGGAAGTGACCAGGTCAGGGGACCACTAAATATGGGGACCTTATAAAGGGAACCAGAGGCCAAGGTAAAAAGGTCTTATCAAGGAAATAGTTTTCAAATGCTTGTATTTATCCTGTTGTGTGTCCCTTTCCAGGTTTGCACCAGTTAGATAACAAGTGTCATCATCCCCACCCACTTGCTAGGAAGTGAAAAGTTCATCTTAATCCTTGAAAATTTTTGAAAGTTTGTAGGAGTTTTGTGCACACAGCTTGAACCATAATTACCATAACATTACATATTACATTACAACATTACATTACATTACAACATTACATAACCATAACCATAACTAAACCATATTGGTTTCTCATCAGTGACAGCTGATTTGTTCATACAAATCAGCTGTCACTGATGAGAAACCAATATGGTATAGTTTAACATTTTCTCACAGCAAGTTAAATCTGCAAAGAGCTTTGTAGACGTGGATGTCAGCCTGTAAATGGAAAGAGAAAGCAGATGGATAATTATAATTATTGGCCAAAGTTTCATCAAGCAGCTGACTTATTAAGCAGTGTCAATATAGTGACACAGAAAAATATACCAGTAGTAGTAACAGAATTTGTAAGGTGCTTGCACAATCCCTTGCTTTCTTCTTGTCTAATCTTCTTTAAGTAAGCAAAATAAGATTGAATTAGGGGTTCCTTAGTCTTGAACTGTAGAAAAGCAGCTGTATTTGGCTGGGACCTGAAACTGGGATGAAGAAAATAAGGGGTCTGAAGAGAGTTGACGCTTTTAGAATGATTGTTTGGAGGTGCATGTTGACAATAAAAGAACTGACTAGTTGAGGACCTGAATTGGGATGCAAACTGGCGAGAGAAACTGCAATCAAAGCTTAAAAAGGTAGGACAGACAGATTCTGAGTGTACCGTAGATTCAGAAAAGAAGCTGATTTTGTCATGCAAAAATGGCTCTGACAAATAACCCTTAGCAGACTCTAAAGAACATCTAAAAGCTTGATGAGCAGATGAAGGCTGAGGACTGAAACAGAAAAGACAAGCTTAGAAAAGGACACAGGATAAGAGGCAGCTGAAAAATCATGCTGAGAAATAGAAATAGATTCAGGTGCAGACAGACAGGTACAGCCAGAGAAGAAACAAACAGCTGAAAGTTGGAGCAGTGAAGGGCATCTGGAGGCTGGGAAGTGATTCACAGGGTGGCGGTGGGGGGGGGGACTAATAGGTTGGGAGACATGAGGAAGGTTACTTCGTGGAGAAGGAGAGGATGAACTAGCTGTCAGAAGGTTGGCAGATAAGCATTAAAAGTGAAACAGCTGGATGGTGAGGCAACAGAGAAGCAGATATGGAATGGCTGACTGAGGGAGTGAACAGCTGGTTAATGAGGTTACAGAGGCTGATCTTCCAAATGGGGGAATCAAGTGAGGCAGCAGACTGAACAACTGCTGGGCAGAAGAAGGTACTTAAGCGTGGACCCAAGGAACCCCCTTAGACCCAAAGAGGCAATAAGGTGTTATCCCTGATAAATGACAAGCCGAGACTCAACAAATTATGCCCCTTTGTGCAGACGGCTCTCCAGCTGACTGGATAAAGGTTTGGCAGGCTGTTGTTCCAACACAAGGGAGACACTGGGAATCTGCCATGGATTCGTTTTAGGGTTCCAAGCAACATGATGGCAGCAGCTGCGAGAATTGATGCTGTGTCACTCTCTGGCTGTGATACGGCTGACAGAGCTAATCAAAGAGACTCTGGTTAATGCTGCACCAGATGCACCACAGCACACCTCACCAGCAGCCTGAAAGAGGGTCTTCTCACTGTTGTTTTCAGTGTTACTGTATAACAGCATCAGACTGAAGTGTGTGGATGAGCCCAGCAGGGGGTCAGAGCATGGTGGGCCTAATTACTGCTGATTATATATTGCACTACCATGATTGAGAGCACAGGCCTTGGTTAATTTTTAAAAAGCTTTTGGTCAGAGAATGACAAAATTGACAACATGTGTGCAAGAAATTCAAGTCAAAATTCTATAATAGTCTCTATAATAGCTGGAGATAAGTTGTGATGATATAGGAAAGCCATATGAAATGGATTAAAACTAAAATTGATGCCCCATAAAAGCAAACCAGTCCATTAGTGATGAGGTGAACTATTTCTGTATGGCTTTTTTAATGTCTACAAGTACTGCTACTGACTTGTTATCACACCAGGAGGTTAACAGCTCGTCACTGGAATAGTCTTTGTCCACATATTCAAAGACAAAGATCTGCAAGGGGTAATATTTGTAATTGTGAAAAGGAGGATGGATTTTTCCAAAAGTAAACACAACCTTCAGTGTGGGAAAAGATCAGGAAAGACATCAAATGTGCCTCTTTGTCCACAGGGGGCACCAGAATACAAAATAAAAGCTCTCCACCATAGACTTTATATAGAATGGACGCCATCTGCCTCCTCGCTGGCTAAAGTCCTTGCGAGAACAGCACCCTCTGGTGAAGGGCTGCATTATAGGTCATAAATCACGCCTCCTCCAGCAATCCCTATAGAGCTGTGAACAAACTAAAGAAATTAATTACACAGAATAAAAAAATGTCTACCCCCTGCTTGTGATGTCGACATGTAGTTACTGTAAGACTAGTTTGTGCTCAAGTCGTCTTTTTTCCCTATGGGCGTACGAAGTTTGCGCAGCTAACCCAGGGGCTATGCTGTTTGAGCAGAGCGTCATCACAGTGACTCTCTGTGACTCTCCCGCCAAATGCGTACAATGCTACTGCGCAAGTGGTGGTTTCAGGAAGTGGAGAAAATCCCAGAAATATTGGGAGCAATTCAGCTTCAAATTGGTATAATGACGGAAGATGGAGCCAAGTTGTCCATAGTATATACTCAGGGTCCGCAATAGGTGGACCGTGGTCTGGATATGAACCACCTCTTTGTGGACCCAAAGAGAAAAAAAGCAACAACACGGCATGGCACTCTTTCTGACTGACTGACGCGAGGTTAGACTGGCCCGAGAGAGAGAGCGTGTGTGTGTGTGCAACTGTGTGCGTGCTCACACTTGCATTATGGGCTGCCATTCCCATGACAATTATGCACTGATTGGCTGATAACTACGCAAACCGACAGTTACACATCTTCCTCCTTCAGTCTTTGCAGCAGGAGCGTTGCTCACACCCAGCACCGGACATCAAAATGGCAAATCAGAGAAAGGTGGACACTGAAAATCCCTGATTCACTGACAAATGGAGCGACAAATATATGATTATCTGACCTCCTTCAAGCACAAAGCCAATGGGTCTTTTAGACAGAAAAAATAAAAAGCTTATTTTATTTTATTGAGTAATACTAAGTAAGAGAGAATATCAGTGTGATGCTGAAAATGAATGTTTTTGTGCCTTCCAATAACTCCTGATTATTACAGTACACTACACCCAGCCTAAAACTACATAAAAACATAAAAAAGGTAAATAATAAAAGAAAAACGCCAAAACTTTTCGCCACCACGCATGGGCTGTGGACCTATGACTTCCTCAAAATTTATTTTCTGGACCTTTTACATTCCTAATTGAGAACCCCTGATATATACACTCTATGCTCTCCACTGAGTCTTTGAGCCAGCTTTAGCCATGTAGCTATTCAATTACTTTCATAGTTGTTTACAATGACAAGCCTCTCTCAAGGATTTAAAATCAAATGGGAATAAGATGAAATTAAAATTTGGATATAGAGGGTATGTTTAACTTGATGGTTAAAACAACCACCAAGGCTTGAAACCCTTGATTTGGTGCATGTCATCCTCCACTTTCTTTAAACTTTTCTTCGTCTCTCTCTGTCAGGCTGAGTAAAAGCTTCAAATGATAATTTTAGATAATAGTATTTATCAGATAGATAATAAAGGCGAGTGATCAAATGTAATTAATATGTAACTTCAGATATATTTATTCCTTGCTTACTCTTCCGATTTCCTGGTTGACATGGTTCCTGATAGACAAACAAGGAGCTACTAATGAAACAAAATATAGATTGAGGCCTTAGGCCCAATAGAAACATAGTAGCTAAGTAACACAGGAATTATGTTGGAGGATTTGTTAGCATGTTTACAATGTTAACACGTAAATTCGCATTATGTAAGCGATCAAACAAAAAACACTATTCATCAATTTTTGGGGAGTTAAGAATAATTCCAGTTAAACTTTGAGTTCAGTGAATGACAATATTGTACTTTTTGTGAACTTACGTCATAATGAATAAATAAAAGCATCATTAATAAAAAAAATAAAAACAATATAAAAAGGGAGAGAGAAAGAGACGAAAGTCAGCACTTTCTGCTGCTGTGAAGTTGACACAAGGAGGTAACAGCTTCAGCCTTTTCATTCATAATTCAGAGGAGCTGCACCCCAGGGTGCCTCCTTAGAGCACAGCCATTCTCTCCCTGTCAATCCACTAACTCTGCGGTAGAGACTGAGCAAAAGCTGCACAGGTGACACAAGCTCGATACATGCAGCTTAAGTCATACAACTTAATTACTGGAATTCTTAATTATTATTGAAGGAAATAGTGAGTGTGGTAAAATCTCTGTTTATGCAGCTTTTGCAGAGACAGTGTCAGTAATGAGGAGTAAAGAGCACCTTTTTAATAGCTGGAAAAAAGACAAATAAATATAAGATTGATGGGAGTCTTTCAGAGGGAATTTCCATATTACTGGGTAATATCAGTGTGCCCTCCTTTGTGAATACAGGCTGAGAGGCGTGTGGCATCTCTGCAGGGATGCATTTTATTAGACTGTCAGCATGATTATGATAATGGTGCACTGCTGCTTTGAAATGAGATAATTTACATTTTAGTATAATTTGAGTTTGGCAGTGAAAAATATGAGGAAGACCTTCTGCTAAAGATGGCAATTTATCATGCAGTTATAGAGAGTGTAAACTTGCACACACATACACACACACACACACCTATACGTACACTCTGAAGAGGAATAAAAACAGGAAAGTCACTGTAAAGAGGGAGCCCACATTCTTATGTAAAAATTTCCTCTCTCACTAAAATCACACACCTACTCACACCTGTGTGCATACAAATGCACACACAATTTTAACTTCACACGGTGGTGCAGAGAAAGCCAGAGGTGGAATATTCTGCAGTGTTTAAACCTCGCTCTCCAGAGGCAGTTTACAGCTCAGATTAAACTCCAGTAATATGATTCTCTTGGACACCTGCAGCTGAGGTAAAAAGCCACTAATGGGCTTATTCCTCACACTGCAGTCCCAAAGTAGACAACTATTACATAACTGTTATTTCTGAAGGAGACATTAGCAAATGTACAAACAATACTTAAGTACCTTGACGCCAAAGAAATAGATGAGTCTCAGACTATTGCAAAAAGCAAGCACAGCTGAGGAGACTCACTGCCAAGTTTT